TGTCATCATTCCTCTGACACCAACCTGGGACGAGGCCCGAACAACAGAAGACAAGGACAAGACCGAGTATGAGGGTAAAGGCGACGCCGAACCCGTCATATGGTTCAAGCAGACCATAGGAAACGCTTGCGGCAGCATAGGCCTGGTGCACTGTCTTCTCAACAGCGACGCGGCACAGCACATCCAGCCCTCTTCGACACTAGCCAAGATGCGCGAAGACGCGCTACCAAAGCCCATCTGGGAGCGCGCGAGAGTGCTCGAAGACTCCGACGCGTTCGAGAAGGCTCACGCAGACGCCGTGAAACTGGGAGATTCTGCCCCACCTGCAGTGATCGAGGAGGCGCATACCGGTCAGCATTTCGTGGCTTTCGTCAAGGCGAAAGATGGGCACCTGTGGGAGCTTGAAGGCGGTCGCATGGGTCCGCTTGATCGGGGTGTGTTGGGGGAGGATGAGGATGTGCTTAGTCCGGCTGCGTTGGAGAAGGGTATTGGACGTTTGATGAGGATTGAGTCTGAGAAAGGGGGAGACCTGAGGTTCTCTGCAATTGCGCTGGCTCCGGCGATGAAGTGAAGGTGTCGCGTCTGGTCCGTCTGGTACGCCAATCGTTCTCCGCATGTGGGCTTTTGCTTCACACCACTGCAACACGTCTCTCAACCAAGGCATATATGCACTTCTACTCACACGTCTTACATGAGCATGTTCATTATGCAAAGATATCTCTTGTATCATGTGTTCTCCTTTCCCATCAACTAAAAGTTTGAGCGTACTCAGTCTTCGTACCCCGCTTCACTCATAAACGGACTCTTCCCACGTATGCTCTTCCCAAACCTCAACAAAATCAACGGAATGAAACTCAACGCCAACGCGATAAACCCCAAAAGACTACTCGCCCAATTAAATCCCAACGTACGATACATACTCTGCGTCGCAAGCGGCAAGAAAGCCGCCATAAAGTTCTCCAGAAACGCAATGCCCGCGATAGCACTCGCAGCATACTTCGCATACGCATCAACCACATACGTCGTTACTCCCGCTGTACTGCAGAACATACCGAAGCCAACGAAACCGAGCGATATACTGGGTACAATCCACGGGATGGAAGAGTAGGACGTCCAGGCGAAGTAGAACAATCCACCACTCAGACCGATGAAGGAAGCTGGGATGCTGAGATAAAGTCGCGCTTCTGGGATCGGCTTCCCTGGGGTTTCAGTGTTGCGTTTCGCAGATGCGAAGTAGATGCGGTCTTGGATTAGAGATGCGAAGAGGCCAATGAGCTCCCCGATTACGACGGCGCATTGCACGAGGCCTGTGCCGAAGAAAGACCAGCCGTATAGTTCTGAGAAGACTTGTACGATGGACTGCGTGAACATGAAGGCTGTGCCGATGCAGAAAGCGCTCCATAATCCAAAGGAAAGGACTACACCTTCGGTACACAGCATACGCGTTGGTCGAACGAGCGTCTCTTTGAGAATTTCGCCAAAACTCGTGTGCTCTTTCTCAGCCTGGGCATATACCTCTTTGCCCGCCTTCGCGCGAACATGACGCGCACGCTGAGTGAGGATGACATCCGGTCGAACTTCAGGAAGGAGAAAGAACAGTACCGGCATCAGAGCGCTGTAGAAGATGATTTGACTCAGGAAGATCCTATATCCAGATTAGCTAGAGTCCCAAACAACAACCAGAGCATGTCTTACCATCGCCAAGTCGTATACTGAACAACCAAACTACCAAACACCGGCCCCATATTAAGCCCCGCAAGCAATGCGAAGATGTAAAGCGACGTCCCGAAACTCTTCGCCCTCCCATCCCTCCAGATATCGCTTACAATCCCCGACGTGATATTCGCAAGTACGCCCGAGCACGACCCCGTGATAATCCTCGTTACAATCAACGTCGCGAAGTTCTTCGCCAACGCCTGTGGAATGATGAAGATGATCAATACCGCGTAGATGGCCATATAACTCCACCGCACACCAAAGTTCTCCATTAGGGGCAGTCCTAGTAGTGGTGCTGCGGCACCTCCTAGGTTCCAACTCAACACCGGCCAGTACGAGTGAGGAAATGCTTCATCGCTGACGTCGAAGCTGGTGTTGATTTGCTCGGCGGCGGATGTGAGCATTGTGCCTGAGACTTGGACGACGAAGGTCACGGTGCAGGCTAGAAGGGTAGTCCGCCATTTCTTCGACGGGGAGAAGTTGAAGGGGTTGGATGGGTCTGTTGGTGAGGTCCAGGTGATGAATGTAGGATCGGACTTTGAGGTGGGCGGTGGTGTAGATGCTCCTGATATATCCTGGTTCGGTCGATGATCCCGTTTTTCTTCAGTCGTCTGCGAGCTCAGACTTGTCGAAGATGTCGAAGTCGGTGTTGGAGAAGCCATGATGGAGGAGAGGCCACGGCTAAGACGGACCTAGCGTTGCCGGGTCTGGCTTATACGTCGGGGTTGTTGGAGGCGAGGGTGCGACTAAGCAGCAGTCACCCAATGCTTACACACACCTTCACACACCTTCCCAGATCCAATCACAGGTAATATGCTGTTGTAGCTCGAGTGCGACTCACGTAACCAGACGCTTAGATGCAGCTATCCGCAACGGCACGCGCCTTTTGCCCGAGAAACTTCCTTTAGTTCTTCTCACAATGAGAGCCCAGAGCTCAGAATTCGCATGAGCCGAAAGAACTTCTCAGAACACAAGCTTTCACAAGCACCAAGCCCAAGAAACCGATGTTGTCTGGAGCTTGGTAGTTGAGTGGAGTATGCGAGACCAACAACAAGCTCGCCCCATTTTGCTCGGCGGTCACCATGCGAGGTGCAGACAAAAACCTGACTCTCGCTGACATCACGGTTCATAACATGCCTGACTAAGTTCACTGGATCGCTCGTGCGGCCTTGTTAACTATAACGTAACGAAAAGTGGAAGCGAGGCAAGCGCTGGCTTGGCGGGCCGTAGGTCTGGCATTGTGGGGCGGGGGGCATCTAAGATCGAGAATTCCTGGGGATGGGAATTAGTACGCATGGTGCTTGAGGCTCTTTGGAGGGTTGCAAAGGTTTTGGCGATGGAGGAATGGTGACGGTTGAGGGGATGCGATGAAGGTGTTGAGCCGGGATGTAGCCGAGGATTTTGACGCTAAACTCTATTTGTTTGTCCCGATTTTATCAACTTCTCCTTCTCTGTCTTTCGCGCTCGAGCCCAAGGGGTCTTTTCGCGAGGGTACTTTGATTGTGTACATTGGGGAACTTCTCCTTCTGGTCAACCTTTCAACATACCTGTGTATGTGCCTCTGATGTGGCCGCTCACACATAGTCCTCCTTCGTTCCCTTCTCCGCACTCCGATAAATCGCCTCAATCATCTTATGCCTCACGACAGCCTCCTCCCAAGTCGTAACACTACCCTTGCCCTCTCCAGCCCATGCATCCCAAGCCCTACCCACATTGAACGAAGGGTCTTCAGCCTTCTCCACCTCAACATCTTTCAATCCCTCTTGGCCCAGGGCAATTTTGACTGTAGGCTGGAACATCTGCACATGTCCGTTCGGTCCTTCCAACACGAGCGTACCCTCGGATCCGATGATCTCCCAGTAAAAGTCCCGTCCGGTGCGTGAAAAACCTGGCGCATATGTCACGTCGACGTTACCGCCGCCGTTGATGAGTTCTGCGGTTATGGAGACGAAGTCGTGAGAGGTCTTCGCCTTCTTTTCTCCAAGGGGCTTGTAGTTCTCGTCTACAAGCTCGAGCTCGGGGTATCTGTTCGACAGCACAGCGGAAATGGAGCGTAGTTCGCTGGAAAAGACGTAGCATAGAGCGTCAACGGCGTGGCCGAAGGGGATAGTGAGGATGTTTGCGCCGTTTTCCACGGGGTGCATGTACGTGTAAGAGGGCATAGTTGTGCCACCGAATATCATGCCCTGTTGTTTTCTGCGTTAGCAAGCTTGTTCATCCCATAGACCATATGCTTTCCATTCAGTTTCAGAATGATAGACATGAGAACTCACATGGCCGAACATCGTCGTCCCCAAAATCTTGCCCAGCTTCCCCGACTCAACAATCTCCTTCGCTTTCAGAATTGATGGGTTCTGGCGTGCTTGCAAGCCCACCATGGTCCTGACACCCTTTTCTTTAGCCAAGGCCGTCAGTTCTTCTGCTTCTTTCTCGTTGCGAGCCAAAGGCCATTCGCAAAAAACATCTTTTCCCGCTTCCAAAGCCGGACGGATGAGATCATAGTGTTGGGGCACGTTGACGCTAACAGCAATGATGTCTACGTTGGGATCCTGGGCGACTGAGCTGGGAGAGTCGTGGGTGGATACGGAGTCTAGAGAGTACTGTTTGGCGGAAGCCTGAGCTGAAGTGAGAGAGCTGTTCTGAAGGGCGGTGATAGCATAGTGCGGAGAGCGTTGGAGGTAGGGAAGATGGGACTTCGATGCCCAGGATCTGGTGTTGTGTCAACTACCGATGCTCATCAGTTCAGGAACAATGCAGTTATACCCTTTAGCAGACAGGCCAATAAGGCCGATGCGCTTTTGTGAGGTGGCCATGATAGGTCAGTACGGTACGCGACTTTGAAGGATTTGGGTTGTCAGCACGATGAACGGTGAGCAATCAGATGCTTACTCAAAACAGCGAATTCGTATCCGTTTCATATATCAAACAGCGGAATAACTTTGCATTCCGCCATTTCCGCAACCTTACATCCAAAGCGGGTACGGCCGGTTGATGTCGCGTCATTGTCGCGTGGTATGCATGACGCCATTCGCAGCTCCCCCGCTTTTCGTCCGGACGCGCTTGACATCTGATATCTCGTTTGTCTACCATCTCGCAAAATGCATGTCCGTGAATCTGGCATCACGCAGAGAATGACATTGAATGTTCTCGTCATGATTCCTACTGACACAGTATATCCATATTGTACAACTCAGGCGTGTAGTTCAGGCGTCAGGTACAACTCGGAGGCAGCGACTCGCGTCGTATGTGTGAACCGTATATCCAACCATCTCCATGAAGCTCTCCTATGATGTCTGATCCATCTCCTCATCTTCATCTTCACCGTAACCGTCCTCGTCATCGCCGTCATTACCATCCTCATCCCACCTCTCAGGGTAACATCCATACAGTCGTGCATGCTCATAGTCTTCGTCCGCAATGCGCGCATGCTCCTGTCCACGAGTATAAGCTTCGTTCACGAAATACGGCCGCGAAGTCGCCAGGCCAAGAGAAGGCTCGGAGCCCACAGCAAGACGACTCAACGCCGCCGCACTGTTCGGGACGAAAGGTTCAGCCGATGGAGATAGCGCACTTGAAGCCGACGTCCCAAAACCATACGGATTTTCCGTAGCTTGGAAGTCGCCGGTATTACCAAACGTGCCCGCCATCCCTTGTCCCGTAAACGACATTCCAATCTCATTCTGCACCAGTCTCTTCGTACTCCATCCGTTCGCCCGAGATAGATCTGTATAGTACTTCTCGTTTTGGCACTGCTCGCAGAAGTACGTTCCGTGTCTAGCTTTCAACTTGCCAATTCTATCGAGACAGTCCTTGTGGTACCAGCGCACTCTGCAGTCCTTGTTCATACACTGTGTGATCTGGACCTCGTTAGTGCGAGCGGGTTTGCGGCAAGAGCAGATTAGGTCGGTTTTGGCGGGAAGATGCTGGAGGTGGGTTTCGAAGGCTTCTTTGGTGACCCCAAATGGGACGGTATTATCGGCGGCTGGGTCGCGTTTGCGGTACATGGGCGCCCTTGGTGAGTGTTTCTTGCCTGCGGGCTTTGTCGGAGGGCTTGGCGTTTTCTTGTTCGACGCTGTTTTGCCCTTCACAGGCGTATACTCGCCGCCCGGTCCGAATGGGTCATATTCCTGTTCTGATATGTCGGACGGTACATCGCTCAGGTCCGTATCGTTGCCATCAACGTTCTTGGTCTTGACCGTGCGTTGAGGTGTCGACGGGCCCTCGGGATTGATCACCGTAAAGAAGTTGCGGATGTCGGTGCCCTTCGCTCTGGCCATGTTTTCTCGCCGTACGCGGTGATCGGTGAAGAAGCCGCGGACAGCGTTAGTATCGATATCGCGACCGAACCTGCGACTACCACTGCCGAAATCCGGGATACTGTCTGGTAGCAGTGTCTTGCTGCCGAGCTTTTCGTAATCTTCGTGTTGTACAGACTCAGGATCTCGATGGACGTAGATGCGCGTCTTTGGGTTATCAGGAGTCAGCGGCGGAGTGTTGTAAGGGAAGCCCAAGGATGGGAGTGGGGAGTAGACACAGTTGAAACTAGTTGAATCCAGCGGAGTTGTGAAAGAGCGTGGAGAGCACTGTGGAGAAAGCGGTTCACCAGCGCTCCTTGTGTTCCCAACGAAGAGAACATTGTACGCACTTGTCCATGAGGCCTCGCGATCCTTGAGCGTAGGGAAGATGCTGAGACTGTGATAGGACGTGTAATCAACGGGCTTTGTATGTGGAATTTCGTATGGGGCGCCATCGAGATATAGCGAGCCAGTAGTTGAGCAGGCCAGCCCTTCAGCGCTCCAATCGTCCCTCAAGCCGCCACCCTCCCTCAGATCGTACAAATCTTCCTTCGATGTAGGGCGCCGAATAGGCCGTATTAGGGAATGGAAGTGTTCAGCTCCTTGAGGTTGACCGACAGGCCCCTTGTAGACAAAGTCAGTAGATGCTTTCATTCATGCGACAAGATTGTCATGGTATGGGAATGTCGGTCGTAACATACATATACAAAATGTTCGACGAGACGCACCTCCGCATGTCTGTCAACAAGTTCTTCGATGCAGCCCAGACAGTAGGTGGGTAGCTGCTGAGGCACCAGCTTCCTAACCACCTGTGTCCACAACGGATCCTTCATCCGTGGTCCACTACGGCGAAATGGGAAGATCCTACCGGCAGCTACAATGATGTCTGAGGCCGGCTCAACAGTTCCCCAGTCAAGTAGCGGCTCGAGTGTGACGACACGAGAGGATTGAACTTGTCCAGTGACCTTTCTCTCTGTAGTAGGACAGGAGGGGTTGCCGCAGGGTTTCTTGGAATTGTCATTGAGGATGAAGATGACGTCGCACATTGTTTGATATCGTGTTCCGGATCCTCTTCCTTCGAGGACCTGTGAGACAACCTCTGCATGCTCAGCGAGAACCTGATCATAGCTCCAGCGAAAGCTTTGGGCAGCACTCTTAAACCTCAAAGACTGATGGCCTGGCTTTGCAACGCGAGAGGGCTTCTTCCAGAGCGTCGTTTGCAGCTTGAGATATTGCTCGACGCTATCGTCTAGCGTAGGCGTTGTTATGCCCCGATCCTGAAGGAATTGGACGAATGCTTCACTGGCTTTCTTGCCGATCTTAGGGAAAAGGTAATGGACGCTCCATTGATCATCTTGATTGGTGTAAAAACCGTCGAAGGACCAGTCGTGAGAGCGCTCGCCTGACGAAGCCATGTCGCGCACTGGGGTCTATGCTGTTAGCATAGGCTGAACTTATCCACAAGTTGGGGGCATCGGTCGGACTGTCGCGTGTCTGGACGGGGAAGGTAGCGCGTGCGGGAGGTCGCTCTCGTGCGAAGGGTCTCATACGAAGGGGACGGTTGCAGTGCCAAGGCCTGACAGACTCAGCCTGTCGCACAACGAGAGGTGACAGGAGACGCTCGTACCAATTTTGAAGACTTTTTCGACCGTTTGGCATGCTCCGAGTGGGCGCTCAGTGTGAGAAGAACGGTAGCGAATTGGCATCCATCGGAACGCGTGTGGAGCGGAGCACGTCAAACGAACCGAAAGTACCACGCGCGGTGAAAACACACGTTTTGAAGTGAAAGTGAAAAGAGAAGAAAACATGTACGGAACCACGCACCGCACTTAAGCAAACCGCATACCTTTGGGATTTTTGCATTGATACGACCATACGCTCACATAGTATGGTCGGGCATGGCTGAGCTGAGGATATTGGTAGAAACGCAAGAGCCTTTGCTGTGGATATGGCCAGGTGTTAGACGTGCTTGCAACTCTCACTGGATTTTGGACGTCAATGTTGATGACGGAGGTACCCCACGAGAGCATGTGTGCTCGTGTTCGGGGTTCCTCCATTTGCGATATCTTCCGTTTACAGAATGGCATTGATCTCGTTGCCGCTCACCATGCCCTCTACAGTCGCCTTCAATATCTCACCAAGGTTCTTGATCGACGTTGTCGAAAACCATGCCACATGCGGACTCAGGGTAATGTTGAGGTCCTTTACGTCTTCCTCCAGCAACGGAGTATCGGCAGGCCCACCGAGTGGTTCCACCTGGTATACGTCGGTCGCATAGCCGGCTATGCGCCTCTGCTTCAGGGCTTGCACTACAGCAGCTTCGTGTACTATGCCGCCTCTCGCAACGTTGATTATGACGGTATACGGATGCATCTTCTCGAGCTCGGGAGTAGAGATGAGGTTGAGCGTCTCGGGGGTTCGCGGTAGAGCTAGGACGAGGACTGTGGAGTTGCGGAGCACATCGTCAAAGGGTATGCGGTCGTCAGAGGCGTCAGGGGCTGGGAGCCCGGTGTCTACGGGGGGCGTCGCTGGTGTCTTTCGACTCGCGATAAGTACGCGCATGCCCAATGCTTGCCCTAGCGCAGCTATTCGCTTGCCTATCACGCTGTGTCAGCGCAGGACTTCTCATCCTGATTAGGATATGAAGACCTACCGATGCCCCCATAGCCGATAACGCCAATAACCTCATCTTTGCAGGTCATCGGAGGCATGCCGTCCGGCAGGCGCATGTGGTCCTTCACGCTACCCGCCGTCTTCCATTCGCTGGGGTGCGCACGAGTGATGCGATCCAGCAAGACGGTGCGCCTTCTGGATGCGAAGTACAGACTTATGGCATGTTCCGAAACCGCGTCGAGGTTTGCCCCCGGGCAGTTTGTAACGCGAATATTGCGGGCCCGGCAGGCGTCCAGGTCCACAGGGTCTGTTCCGGTCGCGGATATGGCAATGTAGCGGAGGTTCGGAGTAACACTGGGGCGCAATGTTTCGGCATCAAGCTTAATGGTGGTAGTAATTATTATCGTTGCATCGTGGATGCGCGAGTGGAGCTCTTCACGAGTCGAGGTGGTCTTGTACGCTGTCAGGTTGTGGGTGGTGGAGGCTGCGAAGGTAAATCCGTGGATGGGGAGGGGCTGCTGATGCTCCTCAAGGGCTACAATCTCGTGATGCATGGCGACACAGTTACACAGCATTCGGCGCAAGGCTGGCGCTGCTCCAGACGCCCATTATCGCCATTTTATGCTGGCCATGGAACGCCTCATACTGCCAAGTTTGGGCATCTGGGTCCGCTACTGCCGCATGCGACATGTTAGGGCGCGTCGTCAACGGAAGGAGCGAAGGAGCGAGGGGAAGGCGCTGGGCAGTTGCAGCATCAAAAGCCGACTCCACTCTGGCATGCCGACACTGACATCTCCATTCACCCCTATCTCGATATCTGGGCTGCCTCCGCAAACGCCTCCCATGTGTTTTCCAGCGCGTTATGCACACGCGACCAGCGCCCCGGACTCTACCCACGAATATGGATCGTGTGCCGAGATGGACGCCCGCTGGACGCCCGCTACGACGCCAATCTCGAGCCATCGGCGACCCCCATTGGCGCGCAAGCCATCGTCTGGCAATGGAAGTAACATCACCCCACGCGTTCACTGCGATTGCCCTGCAAACTCTGCAACAGCCCAGTGAGGCTCAGCAACGTGCGCACCTCCAAAGACCACGTCAGGGTCCTTTCATCGCCGGCTGCTCGTCGGCACACGGCGGCTCAGCTTCTGGCCCACTTCTAGAAAAAACCTCAACACCTAGGCGACGGAACGCGGATGCATTAGACTGTAGTTCCCACTCAGTCGGTGATTTTCTCGGCGCAGTAAAACAGCCCTATCCGGCCACCCTCCACCAGCAATTGGCCCGCCAAGCTCCGCGTCTGTTGCCATCTGAAATTCGGGTGGGTAGTCTAAGGCGACTTGTCTACATGCTGGCTAGCGGGCCTGGACCATGCGCCGACTGACGTGCCTCTGCAGCCCTTCAAAGCCTGCGCTGATCCGCCGCTGGGGACATGTCCCAGAGCTTTGCTTTGCGACAACTCCCCAACTCTCCTTCTCTCTCAGGCCCCCAGACCCAGGACCAAAGCGACACGCCCCTCATGTCCGACTACAGGTATGGCACGCAGTCAGATGCGTATGCCGCTGAGCACGACCACTCTCTGCGCAACGGCGCGCCCGAGAAAGAGACCAAGCTGGGCAACACCTACTCTGGATCCGGAGACGATGTCGTTCCCGCCGATGCCGACAACCTTCTGGCTGCCATGGGCTACAAGTCGGAACTGATTCGATCAAGATCCACTCTCCAGGTGGCCTTCATGTCCTTTGTCCTGGCTTCCGTCCCTTATGGCTTGGCTACCACCCTCTACTACCCTGTAGTTGGCGGAGGTCCCACCAACATCATCTGGGGATGGCTCGCCGTATCGCTTATCATTCTCGCAGTCGCCGCATCCCTTGGTGAGATCACCAGTGTCTACCCGACCAGTGGTGGTGTCTACTACCAGACCTTCATGATCACGCCGCCCGCCTATCGGAAAATCGCTTCGTGGATCTGTGGCTGGTGTTTCGTAGTTGGCAACATTACCATTACTCTATCCGTCAACTTTGCTACCGCGCTGTTCCTTGTGGCATGCGTCAATGTCTACGAAAGCGAACCTGGTGTTGGTATCATGGCAGGATCACCCTACCAGGTCTTCCTCATCTTCCTTGGCATCACACTCCTTTGCAACGCCGTGTCTGCCTTTGGAAACAAATACCTACCATGGTTGGATGTGAGATTCCCCCCAAACGGCTACCGGATGTGTTACTTACAGATAACTAGACTTTTGCCATCTTCTGGACCTTTGCTGGTGTGATTGCCATTATCGTCTGCATCCTTGCCATTGCGAAAAATGGTCGCCACAGCGCCGAATACGTCTTCACTGAATTCGACCCCTCCAACTCCGGATGGATCCCAGGATGGTCTTTCATGGTCGGACTACTGCACGCAGCCTACGCGACTTCATCGACCGGAATGATCATCTCGTGAGCCTCCCCTACTCTGCCCAAGCAACTTGCAGCAGATTTTCCTTGCCCAATGCACTTTCCCAAGCGACTATCCCATGCGACATTTCCTAAGCGACATCCCAAGCAACACACTCCATCGCGACATTATACGTGTCTACAAGCGGTAACTCTTAACAACAATTGTCCAAACGCTAACACGTTCGTAGCATGTGCGAAGAAGTTCGCGAACCTGCCACTCAGGTCCCCAAGGCCATGGTCGCGACCGTCGCGTTCAACACCGTTGCCGGCCTCGTCTTTCTTATCCCTCTCGTCTTCGTACTGCCCGACCAAGCCATGCTCGCAGGTCTTTTGTCCGGCCAGCCTACGCCTGTCATCATCAAGGAAGCCGTAGGGTCCTCCGCTGGTGCCATCGGACTTCTTGTTCCCCTCCTCGTCCTCGGTCTGCTTTGCGGTATCGGCTGCACGACAGCTGCGTCTCGCGCTACCTGGGCCTTCTCTCGTGACGGTGCCATTCCCGGCTACAAGCTGTGGAGGGTCGTCAACACCAACCTCGATGTCCCAGTCAACGCCATGATGCTCAGCATGGTGGTCCAGATCGCTCTCGGTCTCATCTACTTCGGTGCTGCCGCCGCTTTCAACGCCTTCTCCGGTGTTGGTGTCATTTGCTTGACATTGAGTTACGCTGCTCCTATCTTTGTCTCGCTCATGACTGGACGTAAGCAAGTCAAGGAAGGCCAGTTCCATCTCGGCATGCTCGGCACGTTCTGCAACGTCGTTGCCCTTGGTATGTTACATCTCTACTCCACTGTCGTCGCGCAATCGCTAACAACAAACAGCCTGGTCTGCCCTTGCAACCCCTCTGTTCTGCATGCCCACTTTCCGCGAAGTTACGCCTGCGTCCATGAACTACGCTTCCGTCGTCCTTGCCGCCGTCGTTGTCATCTCAACCATCTGGTACTTCGTCTGGGGAAAGAAGAACTACGAGGGCCCACCTACGCACGAGGATGCTGTCCTCGAGGCCAGGAGAGCCAGCATGGCTAGTCGCTAAGTCATGCTAGACCCTAGATAATACAAGAGGCGGAAAGATGAACGAGCCGTCTTCTGACTCGCTATCCACACCTAAAGCGAACATTGACCCACATGTATATTTCCACAATAGCAAATTCGATACCCCAATTCATTCTTTGAGCATCCAAGTTTCAACTCCATCGTTGACTGTCTAGCCAAAGCGATCGCAAGACTGGGCTTTCACAAGCTTGACGTCAAGCTCCTCATCTCTAGAAGCAAAAAAAAAGGCTTGACCATCGGACCCGCGGAAAAAACGGCACCATGCACGCGCCGCCTCCACAGGCCCATGTCCACGATGGTATGTCACTACCTCCACAAAGCCCACAAAGTCGCAAGCAGGCTCCATGTTCCATTTCCGCCCCCATCAGGCCCCGGCGCTGTATCTTCGGCCAATACCGGGACCATCTCAATATTGATTAGTGAACCCGACCCACACAGCGTTTTGAAGTTAGCGCAGCACAGCCGCGCAAAATTTTGATGGAACCGGTGCTCCGCTGGTGTGTTCAAGCGTGCCCGCTAGACAGTCCCGCTCCCCACTAATGCATGTGGTTCCAGTGACCTGGCATGGCGGGCTCTGGGACGGGCTGGACTGGATTGAACTGGACCCTCGTGCGGTTGGATGTTTGTATTCGCGCTAAGGTAAGGGCGTGACGTTATACGTTAGGATTCGAGATGGACATGGGAATGAATAGGAATAGAGGCGGAATATATATAGATTGACAGGGTTTGTCACTGTGCAGAGTGAGTGAGTGAATCTCCATCTCCATGAAGATAATAGTAGGAATTCTGCGATTGTTCTAGATATACCGCCAACGACCCATCTCAACACCATCCACCCTCTCCATGATATCTCTCAACTTGGTTTCTGCGCTTGACTCAGCGAGTTCCTTTCGTACTTCCCCTACGCGCTCAGGATGGAGGATACAGACAGGACTGCCCACAGGCGTCAGGATTCTAGATCGCGCGATGAGATCCCTACGCATCAAGTAGGGGCGTCTAGGTCGTCGTGGTATGCGTGGAGGAGGATTCGCGATAAAAGGGTCTTCCAGGGAGGTAACGTCGGCGAAGTCGTGAAATATAGGAGGTGTCGTTACAGCATTCCACTTCCCTGCCTTCTCGTCCACTTCTTCTTCTTCTTCTTCTTCTTCCTCCCCATCATCCCTATCATCAACAACCCCATCAAACAACCTCCCCACCGGATTCCGATTCCGCACAAGAATACTCTTCCTCTTGCCTCCTTCCTTCTTGCCATTCCCCACCCCATGCCCATGCCCATGCCCAGCTCCATGCGGACTAAGACTATCCCCAAACTCAACATCTCCCCTTCTCCCGTGCCTGCCCCCATCAATACTCCCATTCCCATTCCCATTCCCATTCCCATCACCACCAACCGGACTCGAAGTATCCCCTTCCACAGGCGTACCAAAGGTATCCCGCGAAATACTCGTTTTGATAGAGTCAGTAGCAATAGACTGTGTAATAATAGGTCGTTGGTGCACAATCGTCGAGTCCTCTGGAGGCGAAGGTAAGGATAAATCAGCGTCGTAGTCAATCCACGGTGCGACTTCACGGATGTTGATGCCGGGGAAAGTGGTAGCTGAGGCATGGGTATGGGCGCTGCTGGCGTTTGAACCTGCGGGGCTGGCGTGTCTGCGCGGTTCGCCGCCTGTTGTGGATACATCGGCTTTGCTGTGTGTGTTTGTGCGGCTGGGTTTTGCGGGGACGAGGAGCGTGTTGCTTTTGCTCATTGTAGCGGTGGTGGTGAGGGGGTCGGCTTCGGGGACGGATTTGGGGGATATGACGTCTTCCTTGTCGAGGATGTGGACGTGGGCTTCTTCGTCGAAGTGGAGGTGTTTGAATATGCCTTTGCGGGGTTCGATCGATGGGGGGTCTGTTGGGAGGGGTTTGGGGACTACGTGGGGTGTGACTGGTGGTGCTGTCTTGAGCGGGGTTGAGAAATCGCTTTTGGCGCCGCCTACGGGAAGTGTGCTGTGCGACTTGCGTTTACCGTCTCGGTTGACCTTGCGGAGACGCTTGTACTCGGCGTAGTCGTCGACTTCGGTCGCTGTGGGTCGCTTGATGACTACCGCCATGGGCACTGAGTCGGTCCTCTCAAACAGGACGTCAAACAGGATATCGCCTTCTTTCCATTGCCCACCAGCAAGGTTACTGCTTTTGGCTTGCTTGATGGACCAGCCTCGGACGCTGTACAGGCCTTCGTATCTCACACCTGCTTTTGGTCCCCAGACGCTGTTGATGCTGTGGCTGCGAAGTACCCTCACAGGATCTCGACTCTTGGGTGTAGCAGAGGTAAGACGGAACTTACCCTTGTCGTTCTGCGGAACACGATAGGTAAAGCGTTCTTCAGACGAGGCTTCAATCTCGCCCGTATCTTTGAGTAGAAGAGCATATGCACCGTGTTTGTCGTATGTCGTACCGCCATCGCAAGCCTCAAGCCCGATGATGCCAGCATGGTGTGCGAACAGAGGGTTGATCCACCACCTACAACGAACATCAGTCCATCTGCAAGTCTCTCCAAGCAACATTTCGTCAACTTACGTCCCAGCCACAAACCCCAAATCCCCCAATTTATGCGACCTCTTCGGATGAATCTTCTCCGGACAAGTCTCCGCCCAGCGCTTAAGCAACGCCTCCCTAGAATACTCATTCACACTAGCAATCCCCTCCAACCTACCCCCCCTCCCATACAAAAACGGATGAATCTCGCTAAACGGCCCAAACTTCGCCGTCCAACTGTCTACAATCTTGTCGCAGTCGTCGCACAACCGACTCGGCCAGCGTGTTGCCACGCCCGCAACGTCTTGGACAGCTTTATGGATACCGGTTGCGCGGAGGACGGAGATGGTGATGTTTTGGGCTTGGCGGAGGGCGACGAGCGTTTCGTGGAGGGTGAGCACGTCGTCCGGGCGGAGGACGTCGGGGCCGTCGCGGGCGACGCGGAGGTCGAGTTCGTCGCGGATCCAGCGGGCTATTTGTTTGAGGCGGGGGCGGGAGAGGTCCGGGTGGACGGGGGGTGTGACGGGGAAGGTGGCGGCGGTGTGGGTTGTGGATATGGTTAGGGGGCTGGAGAGGCTGTCACGGAGGGCGGGTGTCATGGTGTTGGTGTTGATGTGTTCGGGGTGTCAAGATATGGAGTCGTGTTGCATTGAATGATGGTAAGGGTTTGGCGGAGAAGGAATAGGTACGGCCGGTGTATTGAATGGTGTAGTGAAAGGGTGGCTTTCGTACTGGTTCAAGGTCTGAGGGTCCTGGCATCAGCTGCCCTTTCCTCTGCCATGAGTGCTTGAACGCCTTCCCATTTCTTTCATATATCTCAGTGTTTGCGCTTCTTCTTTTTCCGCTTCTCAGTCCCTTCGGCTGCCGGTATCTCCACAGGCTTTACTGCCTCTTCAACCATCTCATCACCACTAAAACCATCCCATTCCTCATCTTCAACTTCAGCGATTGCGGTTTCCATGATTGGTGCCGAATGTGAACTGCCGTCCCGGACAAAGGCAGCAACGAAGAAACCCATTGTGCCTTCTTCCGTACCCTTATCACACCGAATGCACGCTTCTAGTACGTCACTCTTCAAAGATTCATCCACATCAATCTCCAGTTTCTCGTCCTCCCACACTCCGCGTCTATGCCACTTCTTCATCCCATCGACTTGCTGGTCTCTCTTGAGAATCGACCAGCCCCGTTCTTTTGCGATCGAAGAGGCCAATGCTTGGAAGACAACACCTTCGTTCTCTTCGAAATGTATGGAACATGTGGAGTACGTGATCTTGTGCGCGCTCTCGAATCGCATAGCATGATTGAGGATGTGGAGCTGGAAGGATGATAAAGCTGTCAGTCGCTCGGCTAGCTTGCCGTGCATTGGTGTCTCTTCAGGTGTTGATTCATCCATATCCAAGTCAAGCGTCGCTGAAAGGTCAGCTTCCTCAGGCGCGTCGTCTCTCTTCCGCTTCTTGCCTTTCTCAGGCTTTTGCGGTGCTGGGCGACTGTTTGGTGACTCTGGTAGATGCATCTTGATTGCATCGTCACGTCCAACTATGCCAGTACCGGAGCAACTGGGGTCGAGCAGTATAGCACCAAAATTGGCATATTCGTCAGATCCAGGCTTCGCAGCGATAAAGTCGCTACTACCTTTGACCTGAACGATGCTGTCCGCTGATGCGAGCTTGACCATCTTCTGCAACGTGAAGGTTCTACCCTTGTCGCGCTCGAATGCAATGACCTTCTGTTCTTCACCCGGTCGCCTCCGGTCAGATACGATAGCTGCCAGATGTGTTGTCTTGTTGCCTGGTGCTGCTGTTGCGTCGATAACGTCGCCATCGTCAGGCTGCGGATCTAGCAGATAGGCAGGGAAGCACGAAGCCTTGTCTTGGAAGATGATCTGTCCCTTCGTATACGCGATTGACCTGCTCAGATCGATCTTAGAGGGTAAGGCGAGTAGGTTCGGTATGTTGGGGTCTTCGTAGTATATTTTCGACTTCTTAGGCGCAGAAAGCACTTCGCTCAAATTCTCAGTCTTGACAAAGCCGGCAAATGTGGTCGATAGCTGTTGCTGCAACGTCGTCTTGACGGTATTGATGCGCACCCAGCGAGGATGGCGGCTCTTGGGCGCATCACCCTCATCCTTCTCAAGCTCGCCATCATTAACAGCCTCCCTGAATGCCTCTATAGTCGCGTATCCGTATCGTATGCGGGCTTTCGTGAGCTCGGCGCTCAGACGGGCTTTGTGTCTCGTGATGGCGAGCTTGAGGACATGGTTGGCGGCTGCAGCAACACCGTTCTTCGCGAGCAACAGATCGTGGGTAAGAAGGAGGGCAAGGATTGGCGTAAGCTGTTCAAAAATTATTAACATCAGGATGCGACACAGAGTATTGCCAGTAAGCTACCTACCTTCCTCTCCTCTGCCAGCAATTTAGTCTTCTCAATCACATCTTTGAGCACAATGGACCATTTTGACGTTTCCGCAATGAGCGCAAACAATTGGCCTGGTGTGCTCTTCAGATCTTTCTTGCCGTATATGCGCGACTTCAGAGACCCGCCTGTGTTCTCGGTGTTTGCGAGGACCGTCGCGGCTTCGTAGTAGAGTGACATGGAAGCTGTCGCATGCGCATGCGCATGCGAGAGAAGAGTCGCGAACTTTTTGGCGTTAGGACCGAGCTCCGACTCTTTCCCCACACATCTCCGCGCGCCTGGACCCACGCGACGTAGGCGTTTTTTGGAGACCGCATGCACAAATGTATCATGCAGTTGTTGGATCTTTCGTTAAACGATATACGGAATCAGTGGGCTATGACATGCGGCATTGCTAGACACAGCATAGTATCTTCGTTTACTAGTACTACTGGCCAACGAGCCATGCTTATGGATCATTACAGCACAATTATTTGGGTCATCATGGGAGCATAAATCGTAATCCAACGCCGCGTGCATGCACGGTGGTGTTGTATTCTCATACGTGAGCCAGCAATCGTAACGCCGTGATATGCGTTTTCATGTATGTGGAAATGACCTCCAACGCCCCCAAAATGTCCTGTATCTGATGTTTCTGTAGTTGAAGAGGCACCAAAGTACACAAATGCTCCAGGCAGCATGCTAACTGCGAATCGCAGGGGTATATATCAGCTATAGTAGATAGCGCGTAGACAAGTCATCTACGCCTTCTTGATCCTTTCCTCGTAGGCTGACCAAGCAGCTTTTCTGTATCGTTCTGCCTCCGCCTTGCGGTCTTGTGCGCGCACGATGCCTCGTCCGACAATGATGACGTCGCATCCTTGCTCGAAGATTAGCTTGCGAGGAGTGTTGTATTGTTGGCCTAGAGCATCGCCCAGCTTCTTGCCTTCCTGGCCTGGCGGTGGGAGCTGGCAGCCCGGTGTCATGGTAATGAAGTTGTCCTCTGGCTCGGTGTTCAAGCTTCGTTGCGCAATGAAGCCCATGACAAACTCGGGACGGCTGCGTGCGATCTCGACGGTCCGCTTCTGGTATTCGGGTGTCATGAGGTGGCCCTCAGAGCTCATCTCGGCAAGCAACAGAAGCGACCGGAGGAACGGTGGTGGACCAAGTCGGATGAGCTCTGTTGCTACGTCCAGGTTGAAGACTTCTTCTCCGTTGGCATTTGGCTCTGGACGCGGCGATATGCTCTCTGTGCGCATGGATATCGAGGTTGTCACGCTGACGACGCTGTGCTTGCGGTCGGCAGCCTTGATGCTCAGCCGCCTCTCCTCGCCCTCCATCTCGATGGGTGACTCAATCGCCGAGTTTCGTTGTTGTTGTATGAATTGATCGTCCTCTTCGTCATCATCGTCGTCGAGGCCGTTGATTTGCCGTGTGGCAGAGATTTCGGTGTTTACGGACGTGTTGTACTTGGCGATGGTGGCATCGGCAGCCTTCTCGAGCGCGGTTACGATGGCTGGGCCAGGAATGACATGCGCGTTGGTGATCTCGGCCCAGAGCGCAATGCGGTGGTGTCCAGAAGTGTACTGTTTCTGTACGGTTTCTGTGGTGTGTTAGAGACTGCCCCGCCAGTGAATATCCTACGAGCCAACATGACATACCACCAATGTCCGCAAACTTTCGGTCTTCGAAGATGAGGAACCATTTCCGCTTGGCAATCTCTCTCAGTGCCTGTGCTGTCCTGTCTGACCAGTCGACGACAATGTCGCAGTGCGTCTTGAGCACGCAGATTGAGTCACCAACATCTTCGGCTAGTTGGAGGAGTTCGGCCGACGTCTCGACATCTGCGGAGAGGCAGAGGTTCGTCTGCTTGACGGATATGAGGCTCAGTAGGTAGGAAGCCAAGGGCCCGGTCGTGGGTAGTGAGGCGCGCGCACGGTACGTGCTGGTGAGGCTCGGGTGGGAAGACATGACGGCGATCGGTGATGGACGCCCGCCGGATTTTGGCTTGTGTGTTTGAGAAGGGCCGATATATAGCCAACGCGTGTGAAGGAATGGATCGGCAGCGTGGTGTTGTTTGGCGAGTGTCTCCGCGGGGATGTGTGGTGAGGGGCACTGCTGTCGACGGAGGAAGGAGCGATGGACAGATCGGCAGGTGCGATGAGGCGTGTTATACAAAAAAGAAAGCCACCCAGGGATGAACGGGAAATAGCAGCCAAGTCAGAAATATAGCAATGGAAGGCTAACGTCGACGGTCCCGTCGTCGCAGGTCGAGGACGCGGGCGCCGACAGGCAGTGCGCACAAAAATTGCGCCTGTTCCTGGCACGGCCCGCTCAGCGCTGGTCGCAGATCATGTCTAGACGCGCATTCGAACCGAAACCGTCATGCACCGCAGCCAGCGACCGCCCATAGACGCCAGAAATGCCACCCAAGCTGCGGCCTGCCCGGCTACCGCTCTTTGCACCACGGGCCTAGCCATGCACCTCTGCACTGACCGGATGAGCCTCCACTTCCCTCACGCCTGCAACAGCTGTCTCTTAACCACTCCATCCGCTTCACCACCTCGTATTCCAGATCCTGCACCGCCTCCTGACCGGCGCTTTACTCATGTTCAGGGCTATTCGGCCATACTGCTAGCGTTGCCAACCGACTGCATGTCGCTTCCTCCTGTCATTACCCCAGCCACCATCCCGCTGTAAACCACCATGCCGTAGCCAGCGCTTCAAGCGCCACCGTAGTGCTGCCAGACACCCCACCGCAACGTTACGCCTGTCATCCGATTATTGCAGCCTCCTCGCCGAATTGCTCAACCTCAATTGCGCCGCTCCGAGATATCAACACGTCGACTCAAGACCTTGGCAACGGCTGCACGCCTGCAGCTCGCCAACAGTCCCGATTCGTGTGCTGCCTGCGTGTGCTCCATCGGAAAGTGGGGCCCAGAGGCGACGTCGTATCATGCCCGCATCGCGATCCCCGGTTCTGATGAGTTGGTCGGTCCGTTGCTTGATTGTTGATATTGCCTCCCGTCGCTTTGGTGCTGCGTTCGCCTCGGAAGGATAGATATCCCGCCGCTGTTATGGCCGTAGTGGTAAACGATGTCAGGCCAAGGAACCCTCGCTCGGCTTCATTTTGTTCGGATCGTGAACTCTACAGCTGACGATAACATGTGGAAATTAGAAGCCCAGAACACGCGTCAAATGGGCGTTCCTGACAAATCCAAAGGTGTCTTGTTGTCTGGTCTGTAGGTTGCGGGTCTGCTACGTCGTTCCTCAGTTCCAACTTCTCTTTCCATCACAACAAGCCTTTAGGTCTCCAAGGCTTTCGGTGTTCATCTCAGTATGCTTACCATCGTATCTTCTCTTCACGAAAGCATCACTATTAAACAACATACCACTCGTCTCAAACTCATTATGCCAATCTCTACAGGTCTCTAATGTGGCGGCATGTTTCTTCTATCGATATGGTGTAGCAGTACTGCGACTATTCTTACAACAGCCTGAAGATATACATTTCGACTCACGTCAACTCATATCAAAATATACCCTAGTGAGTATTGTTTGGCTATGTTCTGGTGTTCGTGGGTACTCAATCGTAGTCACCGTAGCATTGCCATGCGAAGGTCCACACATGACCTTCATGTTGCCCATCACTACCATACCTTTCCTCACCTCGAATAGGCAACAGCAATGGAAGTACGACTACTCGACGAATGAGAGCGTCGGAATTCGAGCTTGACAACCTAGAGGTAATTTCCCGTTTGCGCGTTGCGCGAATTCCGACTTCACTGCGTCTTCTTCCACGAGACACAATAACAACCCCCACATTTATTCCCTCACAACAACTTTCCTTCTCTCTTCCTTCTTGCCTTTAACCACAGCTTTCAACAACTTCGTCGTCAATTCGCAGCTTTACAGCTTACTTTCTCTTTCTTCCATCAAGCCCACTTACATCTACCTCATCAAGATGCCTCCCAAGAAAGAGGTCGTCGCGGGTGAGGCTCTGCTCTCCGGCTTCTTGGACAAGGAGACCAAGCTGCTGGCTGCGGCCTTCTTGAGCTCTACCGCTCCCGACAAGGTATGTCACATTACGAATGGTGTCTATAATATACTTACCTGAATAGTTCGACTACGATGTCATGGCTACGCTGACAGGCAACACTGCTGGCTCTCTCAAGAAGATGTGTAAGTAGCATCATATCAGCAGCATGTTAACTACGCTAATGAGATACTCCATCATGCAGGGCCTCCGGTCAAGAAGAAGGCTCTCGAGGCCCATCCATCGTTCGCTGCCTTCTTGGGTCAAGCTGGTGTCGCGGCCGCTTCGCCTGCCGGTGGTAATTCTAAGCCTGCTGCTGCTGCCAAGGTCACAAAGAAGCGCAAGGCTCCTTCCGAGGCCCCCGAAGAAGATGCCGAAGACGGCGCCAAGGACCTTGCTCCTCCCTCTGCTGCTGACAAGTCTGAGGCCGAGAAGTCCGACTCCAAGAAGAAGGCTCCGCCTGCCAAGAAGGAGAAGAAGGGCCCCACTAAGAAGCGCGTTCCCGTCAAGGGCCCGAACGCCCCAAAGAAGGCAGCCAAGAAGGAGCCCGCCTTTGAGGAAGAAGTCGTCAAGGACAAGTCCGCCGAGGACTCCGCCGACGGCGGCGACGGCCTCGGTGAGTATTCCTACCTCAAAAACCTTGAGACCTGGTTGAACAATACTGACAGTGAGTTAGGCGGCGAGATGGAAGACGACATCTAGAGACGCTCATCACTTCTTGCAGGCGCTCTTGGTTCCTGACGTTGTAGACACGCAAATGGTAGGCATTGCCACGTCACTGTACTCAAAAAAGGGACCGCATTCTTACATCAACAGGAGTTTCTGGGTTGCGCACGATAGCATTGTGCGTCCTTTGGGTATATGATGGGTTGTGTGTTGGCGAAAGGAGTTTCTGGGTGGATGGTGTGGCATGATATGACGATGATGATACCCCGGTGTTAAGGCTATGAGGGCTTTTGACGGCTTTTGTTGGGTGGCACGCAACCTTCGCGTAGTCGAATCAACGATGATACATTCTACTTTCAAGGTTCTGTGTGTTCGTGAATGTGCCGTGATGGATGTACTGCCAATTTCGAGAAAGGGTTTGGTGCCATTCGCTTTCCATACCGTATACAAACGTGAAGAGTAGTACGTGGATGGCGGTTTACTTCGTGCCTATGTATTGTAAATCGTGTCGCGACTTCTGGCGTTGTGGTATTGACATGTAATCAGGCACACGGACCAGCCGCACAAAGCTGGATCACGGCAAAATTCCGCACTCTCAACCCCATCTTACAAACCCTCAACATGCCACCGACGCCCACGACTCGTACGCTGACAATCCAAATGCCGAGACCGACAATGCGTTCTTTCCTTCTGAGCATGAATATATGCCGCGTCCAGTCCCTACAGCTGCCAGGAACATGAGATTCACACGCACCTCCTCATTCTTCGCAACCATCTTCGGCCTCCAACGAACCACATCCGCGGATCTCTCATCCAGCAACACGACCTTCAATCCCCTCCAAGGAATCCAGCAATTCCCAATCTCGTCCTACAGCACCAACATGACGCGTCTCGCACCCGTCATCTCGCTCTCACACGGCGGCGGCCCCATGCCCTTACTCGGCGACCCATCGCACGCCGCCATCACCAAGTCGCTCAAGACAAAGGTACCCAAGATACTCAAACTGGGGACGCCTGAAGCGCCGAAAGCGATTGTGCTGGTAACGGCACATTGGAGCACGAGCAAAGTGACCGTATCCAGCGGCTCCAAACACGAACTCCTCTACGATTACTACGGCTTCCCACCAGAATCCTACGAGATCAAACATGACGCGCCAGGCAGTCCAGAAGTCGCAGAGCAAGTAGCACAAGCCCTCAAAGACGCCGGTATCGAGTGTGAGAAAGACGACAAAAGACGTATGTCCTCCCTCAACCTTCTCTTTTACCTACAGTTTCTAACAACACCATCACAGCATGGGACCACGGCGTCTTCGTTCCGATGAAACTCATCGACCCCACCGCCGCCATCCCCATAATCCAACTCTCAGTCCTCTCCTCCGAGTCCCCCACCCAATCCTACGCCATCGGCCGCGCGCTCTCCTCGCTCCGCACCCAAAACATCGCCATCATCGGCAGCGGCTTCGCTACATTCCACAATCTGCGTCTCATGTTCGATGGCACGTCACGGAACCCAGAGTTCAAAGCGCTGAACAAGGAGTGGAGTGGTGCTGTTACGGATGCGGCTATGACGGAGAGTGAGCAGGAGAGGGAACGCAAGTTTGAGCATTGGAGGAAGTGGCCGGGCGCTTATACTATGCATCCGCGGGGTGGGGCGGAGCACTTTTTGCCGTTGATTGTTGCTGCAGGGGCGGCTGCGGGGAGCAAGGGGAGGGGTTATGCGGATGATTTTATGGGGACGGATATGTGGAGTTATTATTGGGATGAGTGAGTGTTTGGTACAGAGGTCGTGATATAGGGTAATGGGTGATAATCAGGGAAGTGAGTGAGCAATAGAGTTTACCCTCCAAAGCTTCATTCTGATATGAAACTTTGGAGGAGAAACTCTATTTCTCACTTACTTCTCTAATTATTATCCATTAACGCTGTATGAGGTTTCATACAGAGGTGGTGATATAGGGTAATAGATAATAATTACCGGTGAGTAACATCAAAAACAGACTCAATTGTTCACTTCCTTCCCTGAGTGTCATCTATTAACGCTGTGTGAGAGTATGTCGCGTCAGTGAGACTTCGTTGCCCTACAACATCTTTAAGCTAAACGCATGCTATCTATCATATCCACGCCCATCTGTTTGGTATCACATCTCCCTCAAATCCACTCTCATCTTATCCCACCCCTCCCCTCCCATCTCACCCCTGAATAGGCTTCAACCCATACCACCCAATCACGCCCATCCCGCCAAACGCACTCAAACAACTAAACACCAACGCCACAATCCCCCTCGCCGTGAAACCCTCCGGTAACCTCCCCGGACTCCTATTCTCACCGCTCAGATCCTCGTAATCAACCGTGTTCCCCGCTGCATTACCCTGCGTGGGTACATGCCCCGTTTCACATACGTCCCAGTGCGATTGCGGAATAGCGTTAGCGTTGGAGGAAGAAGGGGAGAGTTGGGCTTGGACGGCGAGCGGGGCTTCGATCATTGTGGCGGTTAGCCCGGAGGCTACGTGCCATTCTATGTGGCAGTGGAAGAGCCAGACGCCTTGGGGGGATGTTAGTAGGTGGATGCGTGGGATCGCGCATGGATAATGTCGTGATGGGAATGTGGGTCTTGGTGCGTGGGAGTGAGTGACTTACCAGGGTTGTCAGATCGGAAACGGAGCACGATGTGTCCGTTTGGTCGGACGAGGACGGTGTCGCGTCGCATGGGTGTTGAAGGGGGTGTTGTTGTGTTGGTGGGGTCGTAGAAGCCTGCGTCGTCGTCGCTGCGGGTTACGACTTGGAAGGCGTGGCCGTGGAGGTGGAAGGGGTGTCTAGGCATGAGTCTTAGTATGGATGCATCATCTACACTTCGACATTGGCGTAGAGAGGGAGTGAGGAGAAGGGTGGTATACGCACTTCCCAGGATCGTCATTGTTTAGCACGATCTCCACAACTTCGTTCTGTGCAAGGACGAACGCGTTTGTGTTGCTGCCGTAGATGGTGGGGTTGGTTGCGTTGGGGCCGGTAGACAGGACGGTGTATAATGTGGGTACCTTGGGGCTGACGTAAGTTACGTCGTTGAAGAAAGCGCTGTCATGTGTGAGTTCTTGGTAGTTCAAGTCAAGCATGGGACAGTAGATCAGCGACTCACTAATTCGCCCCATCGTCGAGATTGTCCATCTTCAAATCCAGCGTGATAGAGCGATCAACGTGATCAAACAGCTCTTCCTTATCGTGCGGTACCAAAGCGAAATCATCAAAAGGCTCAAATTCTGACATCTCCTTCGCGGCAGGCATATCCTTCCTATCATCATAGACAAGCCATCCCGTGACATTGGGATTCAGCCCCTCGGGTATAGCATCGAACAGGTCCTGGTCCATGCTTCCTACGAAAGCAAAGTTGGAATTGGTGTCGTTCTTGGCAGTGACGAGAACACTATACCGCTGCGCCGCGGTGAGATAAATCATATCTGCCTCCATGGGTTCCGTGTACACGCCATCGACCTCGACAACGCGCATAGTATGATCCTCGAACCAGACGTACTGGGCAGCGAACGCACCCATGTTGACCAAGCGGAAGAGATACGTCTTTCCCGGCTGAATGGCGACAGTCAGGTTCTGAGTGTCATTGAGTAATGCGGCTTGAGGTACAGGCTCTGCGCCGGAAGGATTGGCGATGTTGATGAATTCGCCCAGGAGATTGTGCATGAGATCGTGGTACCAATCAGAAAGTGTTATGACGACTTCTTCGTCGTAGAGATCTTTGAATGGGTCTTCAGGGTCGTGCACTATCAGAGGACCTCGAAGACCATCTGGGTATTGGCCGCGCTCATGGCTGTGGTACCAATATGTGCCGGGTTGATCGACCTAGTTAGGTTAAAGACTGCTATGACTGTCCATCAGATCCTGCGCAACTCACGGTAAAGTTGTATGTGAAGGAGCTGCCTGGAGGGATACCGCATTGGGTGACAGCAACAGGGCCGTCCATATGCGTAGTTCCATTCATATACAAGCCATGAAAGTGCAGACTCGTCGACTCATTTCCTAGAGAGTTCTTTGCGTTGACGATGACCTGATCGCCTTTCGTGACTACGATGGGTGGTACAGGCCATTGACCATTGATTCCAATGACCGGGCGCGTTTCCTGCCCATCGGGGTTCGCATAAGTCCATGCTATGTCGAAGTCATATGTGACGGTCGCGCAGGTAGCGACTGATAGTAGTAGGGAGAGCGGAAAGAGGAGGCTCGATAGTGAGAGTGCCATGATGGCGCACGAAGCGAGTGCTGAGGATCAGATGCAGTCAGACCTCGTCGCTGATGATCAGGCTGCTGTGATTCCGACTGTCCTAAGGAAGTTCATGTGCTACACCCACGTTAGTGCCGATGCAAGAACACTCTCGTCAGACCCAGGACGTAAGATCCGACGTGCGGAGATCAGATAAGACTCTCTAAGCACTTAGCCTCCACCATCTCAAGCCCCCATGCTTCGGCGCCGAGTTATCAGATCATGAGCCCATGTTCTCGACGGTCTGAAGGCGGCCACAAAGTGTCGCAAAGCGGGGCTTCTGTGTTTTTCCCTCACGAACTAGACTTACCTCGGCCTGACGTGTTTGATCATCCCAGTATCAGATTGAATTTTCCACGTCTTGGGTAACGACTAGCAAGTTTGTCGAGCTTGATTTGCTGTGGGGTGACATTCACCGGGTGTTATCGGTCCATCTGATAATCTGGACCATGATCGGCCAGGGTCTTGGGTAAGCGACGGCGCCGAAGGACCAATAAGCTTGCGCTAGTCCGCGCCACGAAGTCTTGATTGGATTTGGCGTGCTGGGCATGTGAAGGTGCGGATCAGATAAGTCGGAGGTTGGAGAGGGTGTTGGAGCATCTGTCGTCGGAAACGGAGCGGAGAAATGGGACTGAGGTCGGGTGTAGTTGCCTAACGCCAGAAGATGACAACCAGAGATATCGCAGTCGGAGTCGCAGCCGACGCAGCACAAAGCTGAAGCATGATCGGTCCGTCGTGATACCGGGAGAAACTCAAATTAAGAGGCAG